GGACATGATTATATAGCCCATTTTTGAAGAGAAGCATGGGATGAACTTCTTCAAGTCCAATTTGCTCGTCATCGTAATATTGTTTTCAAAGAATTCACAGGCGCCTTCTGAGCAAATAAAAAATGAACAATTCGATATATTTTCCGAATCCACTAAATTTGGACCAATTTGCTTTTGGAAACACTGGCCGATCCCAAGGAAGGCTGGGATCTTAATGAGTGGGACGAGTATTATTATGCATTTTAATCTTTAATTAATTAATTAATAAATCAACGACACATGCGATCGGCAGAATCGAGATTTGTGTTATTACGTAATTTATCATTTTATATGTCATTACCACATATAAAATATTTAAAATATTTTTAGTGGCTTAATCACTTCTTTCTCATTGTTTTAATTTCAATATGAGTAAGTTCTGGGGAATATATAAGTTTTTCAATTTAGTAAAGCCTACTAACAACATTCTGTCATTTCAGCTAGAGAGAGCAAAGCAGGTAAAGCTTCTGCCGTACATGACAATACAATTATACCGGTACCAACTGAAAATCTAACTACACAAGAAAAGGACGCAACTTCTGATACATCTACACAAGAAGGGAGCGCATCTTCTGTAACACCTCTAGTTTTATCAGATGATTTGCAGAGGATTCATGATAAATTGTCCGTATCGTCGCTTTTATTTTACAACAAGCTTAGCAATGAAGACAAATTAGTATACCTAACTTCGGTTCAAGATATTTCTCAAGATACGCTTCAAGAAGGAACTAGGAGATATCGTAAATTAGGGGTATGTTTTGTTTGTTTATTATTTTGTTTTGTTTATATTAATTTAAGAGATTTACTCACTTAAATAACCTGTAGCTTCATCGAATTCTCGATTATCTTCCATTTTTTTAACAGAGTGATATCATCAAACTAATGGCCAACATAGCCGTCACTGGTGTCACCATTGGTTTGTTGGTTGCTAACGTAAACCTTAAGAATGAAAATTATAATATAATATCATATGCTACTATATATTTGATACAGTATTTTAACATAATTTTGGATTTAGTTTGGAACTTAGGATTTAATAAAAGGTTGTTTATTATATAGCCGGTATATCAATTGTATCTGGTGCTTTTAGCTCGCTCGCAGGTGCATTAATTACGACCGGAAAAATAGAACCAACTTCAGCCATAACTTTAATTGGCCCAGGAATAGTATTTTCTGATTGGATCGCAAAGTTCGCAATTGCATGAAAATGTGGTATATACCTGAATAGTAACATTAGCTAGATGTAATATGTACGTAATGGTAAAATTGTATGATGGAATGTAACAATGCTTAACCCACCTGTGCGTATTCTTTACCAAACATGCATACAATAATACATGTTTCCGTAACTCTCCGAATGTGTTATTTCGTAAATCTTCCCACTGTGATCTTAATTGTCATAAAAGAGACGCGTAAAAAGATAAATACAAACCAGGTCATAGCCTGCGATACATGACGTTTCTATGCTATTCGATGTGTTTGTATTCTGTCCTAGATCGCACAAATATTGACCGATTCTGAGATATTGCTTCACAATTTAAACATAAAGCTACATGCATTATAATTTATTGATTATAGGAGATCGAAACTTTTGGATGTTTGATAAACGAACTCCTTAATTTGACGCGACGTTGTGAGAGAATCAATTGTTCATATTTATATTATATATATATATATATATATTTTAAGATTTTGTAAAAATCATAACTATTAAAATACAGAAAAGTTTTGAATTATACATATAATTTGACATTAATGGAATAAATTTGATATGTAAGAATATTTAGTAAGCAAAAAAAAAACTGAGAAATAAATTGTCCTTCCTATATTATTTTTGCTAAAACAGGAAATTGGTGTGAAATTTTTTTGTTTGTTGTTAAAGTACATTCAAGAAACGAAGTCATCTATTCTTATTCTTTAGACATAATACTATAATTCGAAGTATCCAGATAAACAATCATTAAAACTAATCTTGAGAAGGTGAACCTTGTGACGCTGATGAAGGTACTGATTTGGATGGGGTTCCAATTGTGGGAGCTTGGTTAAGGGTTGCAGACACTGGAGAGAGATATGATTAAATCCAAAAAATAATCTTGCTTTCAAAGTATGAAAATCTAAAAATCAATACTTACCGCTACGTGATCGTGAGGATTGCGTACTTATGTTCTGAGGACTCAAACCGATTACATTTAAAGGCATAGATTTAACATCACCAGCAGAAACTGATCGACCTCGAACAAGGTTTTGCGTGGAATTATTTGTGTTCGAGTTTGATCTTCGAGCCTATATTCAAAAAAATTAAAACGCTTTCAAAAAGAAAAGAATATATAGTAGCGAGAGAAAGTTAAGCGAATTGCACTTACATTTCTCTGATTACTGCTATGTCTGATAAAAGCGGGCACACTAACGTAAACAAATTGATGTAAACACTTGTTAAATTATAATAAGCGTAATGTAAACATTTGATCAACATGCTAATGCGAACACTTACGGTTCCTCTGATAATAAATCTTCTACTGGTATCCCAGATTTCTTCCTCAATTCAATTAATTCATTCTTAAATCGAGTTGCTTGACTGGATTTCGCAATATCTACCATCAAAAGTGTTAATAATATCAACTAATAAACGAAATCATCAACCTCTTTAATTAATGACTTACATTCTTTTTCAATCTCTGAAATTTTGGTCCTGAGTGAATTAACTTCTACCTTTAACACTTCAACTATACCAGGAGAAGCAATACTGAAATCAGGAGAGGTAGGAGAGGAAGAATGCGCAGTTATCCATTTTTTGTGACTTTGGAATAAAAAAAAATCGTAAGGGTCTTATTTCTTTTTAAAAGGAATAAATTTTGGGATACCTACGACGAAGAAGGAGAAGCCGGAGGTAAAGGAGTGATATTCCCGGTATTTGAAGTTGAAGAGTTGCTGTTCTCACGTGAATGATGTGGATGGTATGTCTGTTGTTGACGCAATGAATCAAGTTGTTTTTGAAGTCGATTGACGATATATTCTTGTTCTTGCTCGAGAGCATTTTCCATATCAATTTTTTCTTTTTGCAGCTAAATAAATGAAGTGTTGATTCTTAATAATAGTATGATAATTAATTATTGTGCATAATCGGATTTTACCTGATTCAATTTCTTTTGTAAAGTATTGGTAAGATATTCCTCTTCTTGTTCTACTTGGAGGAGTAATTCACCTTTCTCTTTTTTAAGTCCTGAAATACGTTTTAATAATTTATTTGATATATATTCTTCTTCTTGTTCAGCCGATGCGTGCTATTAAAGAGAATATATTAAATATAACTGTCATAATCTGTTCAAACATCACGCAGTTATAAATTACTACCATGTCAACTGTAATCTGCCTTAACATTTGATTATCGTGTCTCAAAATATTGACATGTCCTTGTTCCATTTCAACTTCAAACTTAAGTTTCTTAATTTCTAACTCTTGTTGTCGAATACGTTCGTATGCGTTTTGAAGTTCTTGCCTTAAAACGATTGGATCTTCAGATTCCAACGCCAATTTCTGCGCATCTGTGGGAATGGGCGAAGGTAACACTCCTGCACTGATTTCACTAATAATTGAATAACTTGGAAATTACTAATATTCAGATTTCAATTATTTCTGTAAAACTTTGCAAACGAAAATGTATCTCAAGTCTCACAAAAAAAAAATTACTGTGTGCAATCACTCTATAACTAACCCTTGGTTAATTTGTAATTTTGACAAAGTACTCTGAAATGATCTGGCCCGAGCTTCCATCGATGCCTCTAAAGTCGCCTTCTCTTGTCTGGCCTTGATTGATGAAGGATAAAATATCCATCAATATAAAAATTCGTGAATTCAAATTTATTAAAAAAATGCAACTGATCTATAAATTTGTAAAGATATTCTCACATAATTCAATTGTTCTTGAAGGGATTTTGTAATGCTTTTTTCACTTTGTTCAACCTGCTGCAGAGCTTTGGTGCGATCCTTAAGTTGAACAGAAATTTTAAACAAAAATGATTAAGTATTTATATGAAGTTAATTGAAAAAAAAATAGCTATAATTTTACTCATGAATAAGTCAAAGGATCATCAAAAGATATTTACGCGAATGCTTACCGAAAGACCTTCACTTTTCTCTGTAAGGTCAGCATTCAACTGTTTAATCTTTTTCAATTCCTTCGCCTGTTGGTGAACGAGAGCTTGGAGTTTTGCTGAATCTTGTGGTAATTCTGTTTCACTCATAATTTATCTTGGGAATTGATCTTTTTTGTCAGATATTTTACTACGGTTTAATATTAGAGCATTCAAATTATTTTAATTATTTTGGTTTAGTGATCTTCTATCTGGATCAATTATTCTCACGATCATGTGCAATTCGTGATTGGTTATTGGAGGATAAATTTTTCTAAGATGATGATGGTTGAGAAATCTTTTGGAATTTTAAAAAATTTTTACCAAAAATGGAGTCCACGAAAAAGAAAATGTCAAGTAAAAAAAAGAAAAGATTAGAGAAGTATATTGTAAGTTATAATTTTGTTGATATATCGGCAAATAAACAACAAATTTAACTGTTAAAATCCTTCTATAGGAGAAAAAAATTAAAAAGGAAGAACGTGTCAAGTTAATGGAGAACCTTTCAAAATCTTCATTTTCATCAGAACTCATGAAATCAAGTAAAAATTTGGGTAGAAGGGTAAGAAATAGAGAATTCAATGAATCGATTCATTTTATAGCAACTTTGCTGAATTTTACAAGGATTGAAATATTTTAAATAGAAAGAGACCATGAAGGAACGACTTCGTAAAGCTTATAATGAGAAACGTTTAGGATTACCTCAATCTGATCCTAGTGTTCCTTTGTTTGTGAATGTGAATGAAGGGGATGATTTAGGTGATCACGTGATTTCTGAAGACGATGGCAAAAGTCTCGCAAAAGATCATCCTTCGAGAGCCAAGTTCCCTGATACCAAGGTTCAGCGCAAAGAAATAAACTTGATTAATCAAAATGTTGTCTTGGGAAGTGCTCTTAAACGAGGTTCAAATGGAGAGTTTATAATGCCCATTAGAAAAAAGAAAAAAAGTAAAACAAAGAAACGACGGGTAAATTACCTATTCTTGTATGTATTTTATATTTATTATTGTAATTAAAGCTTACATGGGTTTAACTTTAAAGGCAAAGGTAATACAAGAGCCAACATTAGAAGATGACTCCTTTGATAGTTCAGACTCTCAATATGACACCGACGAAGAGATTGAAAAAAATTCTGAAACAGAAGGAAGTGAAAAGGCTACAAAACCATCAAAGGATCAATCGTTTAAAGAATGGGCAAAAGAACAGATGGGCATGAAACCACAGAATAATCAAATTGATAGCATCATAAACGAATCTAGTACCACATTCACGAAGTCACAGAAAGAGACAAAAAAGGTTAATAAAAAAGTTTTGATCCAAGAAGGAATCGATATTACTGCTGGAAGTTTAATTGATGATTATAAACCTAATGTTAAGTCTCCTGAACCTAAATCCATTAAGAAGGTATGAAATTTTCATTTTTTGCCTCGTCAATAAACCATGCACTCACATTTTCAGACCCTTTCTTTTTTAAGGCCTTCTATGTCCCTGTCAAAAGAAACAGGGAAACCCAAGAAGCTAGAATGAAGCTTCCCATATGTGGTGAAGAACAAACCATAATGGAAGCAATAAGTAATAATCCAGTAGTAATCATATGTGGCGAGACAGGTTCCGGCAAAACAACTCAAGTACCACAGTTTCTATATGAAGCTGGTTATGGTAACAAGGATAGCGGTATGTAACGCTAATTATTATTAAATCTGATCATTCCTATCTTTTATTATTGACAAAGTATAAAAATATTAGATAACCCGGGAATAATTGGTATAACGCAACCTCGACGTGTTGCTGCTGTGAGCATGTCAAAACGTGTGGCACAGGAATTATCATTAAGCGAGCAAGAAGTTTCTTACCAGGTTATATAGAGAATATAGCGCGTTCCATATCGAAAAAACCTATTTAATATAATAAAACTAACTTTATTATAGATTAGGTATGATGCGACAACATCGCCAAAAACCATTATCAAATTTATGACTGATGGTGTTTTGCTTCGAGAACTTGCCAATGATTTCCTTTTATCAAAATACTCCTCCATTATAATCGACGAAGCACACGAAAGAAGTTTAAATACTGATATTTTGATCGGTGTTGTTAGTCGTGTACTCAAATTACGAGCCGATTTAAGTGAAGAGGAAAAAAGCAAAATTAAGGTATCTTAAAAGTAATGATGATTTCTTTTTGTAAAAAATGCTGATATTGATCATATAATTATTTTAGCCGTTAAAAATTATTATTATGTCGGCAACTTTACGTGTTTCTGATTTTACACAAAATAAAAATCTATTTGTTGTGACTCCTCCGGTTATTAATGTTAATGCTCGTCAATTCCCTGTAGGTGAAGTTATTAATTTAGGCTTCGTTTAAATGAATAATTGCTAAAGTTACTTTTCGATGTTTAGGTTTCTATTCATTTCAATAAACGGACTCCTGATATTGATCATATTAGTGAGATATTCAAGAAAGTCTGTAAAATTCACACCAGACTTCCACAAGGAGGTTGGTACTTAATCATCCGCAAGTTCTTGAATTTTCAAAAATTAATTTAGCTATTAAAAATAGGAATCCTTGTATTCTTGACTGGTCAAAACGAAATTTCTATCCTTTGCAGAAAACTTCGTAGGAAGTTTCCTTATATAAAGCAAAACAAAGATACCTATATGAGCAAACAATTGTTGGAAGAGAAGGAAATAATCAGCGAAGCAGTTGAAAAAGTAAGAGAAGGTTTAACCGCAAAAGAAGGTAAAATACATGTAACCGTGTTTTTTACATATCAAATCTTTTATACATTATATTTTATGCATTTACAACGTATATTGTAGCCGATATCGAGACTGAAGATTTGGATATTGGTGATAAAGAAGTTGAAGAGGCCGAATCATTTGATACTGATTCTGAAGATTCTGAAGATTTTGATAATGATGAAATGATAGTCGATCAGCATTGTAAGGATTATTACTTTATTTACTTCAACGTGAATTTCATAATCTAATTTAAACTATTTTTATTAATGTAGCTGGACCACTTTATGTTCTTCCATTATATTCATTATTATCCACGCATGCCCAATTACGTGTTTTTGAACCATCCCCGGAAGGAACACGTCTATGTGTAGTTGCAACTAACGTTGCGGAAACTTCATTAACCATTCCCGGTGTGAAATATGTTGTAGACTGTGGGAAAGTTAAAGAACGTCAATATGACGTTACAACGGGAGTGCAATCGTACGTAATTGGTTGGACCTCGAAGGCGTCAGCAGATCAACGTGCTGGACGTGCCGGAAGAACGGGACCTGGACATTGTTATCGACTTTACTCGTCAGCAGTATTTAATGATCAATTTCAACAATTCACGGTTCCAGAAATTCATCGTATGCCCATTGAAGGAGTAGTATTACAAATGAAATCGATGAATATAGATACTGTTCTTAATTTTCCTTTTCCCACTCCACCTGATCATGACAAATTACGTAAAGCCGAAAATTTATTACAATACCTGGGTGCTTTAGATGAAGGTGGAAGAATAACTGAACTTGGGCGTACTATGGCAACGTTTCCCATTGCACCTAGATTTTCTAAAATGTTAATTATTGGACAGCAACATGGATGTCTACCTTACATTATCGCTATCGTTTCGGCTTTATCTGTAGGTGATCCGTTCATTAAGGATTATCATTTAGAAAATAATAGGAATTCTGATGAAGATGAGAATGAAGATGATCTCAATGCTCGATCTAATGAATTGTCTGGTATTCAAAAAGAAACCATTTTACAAAAAGAACGTCGAAAATTAATCAGGAAAAATTTCTATGACATACAAAAGGTTTGCGTGGTCCCATTTTCATTTCATTAATTATATGAAAATATTTGCATCATCTCTTTTTTCATTAATCTTAGAAACATTCCGGACTGGATCCTACTAGTGATATCTTAAAATTACTTAGTGTTGTAGGCGCGTATGAATATGAAGGGGGCACGGATAAATTTTGTGAGAGTAATTTTGTTCGTCCAAAGGTATAAATAATATAATGAGTTATAAACCACCATTTTCTATAATTTGAAATTTATTTAATTTTAAACTTGAAAAAAATTTCAAACTTTGATAGGCTATGCAAGAAATACATAAATTAAGAGGACAAATAACAAATATTGTACAAATGAATTGTCCTGGAGTTGATGTCTGTGTCGATCCAAAGATGAAACCACCATCAACGAATCAAGTAAGTTAATTTAGCTATTAACTTGTTTTAGTTCCTTTAATAGATGTATTATATATTTATCCGTTAATTCATTAGATTCAAGCATTAAAACAAATTATTGCAGCGGGGTTTATAGAACAGGTAGCAATACGTAAAGGAGTAATAGATAAATCATCAAAAACATTTTCATCAACAAGAAATGTAGTATATTGTACCATGTGGACGGAAGATGATGTATTTATTCATCCCACGTCTATATTGTATCATAATAAACCACCAAATTTTGTCGTATATCAAGAACTGCATAAAACAAGTAAAGTTTGGATGAAAGGTAAAAAAAAAAAGAAATTATTTAATTTTTCAATTTTATTTTAGAATGATACTTACATTATAATAAATTCTTGATGACTTGTCCTAAGGTGTCACTGTTGTGGAGTCCAGTTGGCTATCCAAACTTGGTAAATCATTATGTACATTTTCCAAACCAGTTGAATTGACAACAAGCAAGTATGTATCGCGTTTAACAATTTCATAATGTTTTATAATGTTTATTTTCATGCGGTCTTTACTTAAAATTTCCACGTTGATTTTTAATATAGATCAAAAAAGAAAAAAGACACCGAGAAAATAGCTTATGTAACTCCAAGTTTTGGTCCCAAAAATTGGGAATTATCTCCCATGAAAATAGTAGCACAAAAAGTTAATGGTAGATGGACCTATGGATCGATATAATTTATTTTACGGAAATGAAATTCTATTAATCATCGGATACAGTATAATATATTAAGGGAAATGCCATCAACCTCTATTCTTTCAACATTGATTGACAAAATAATTTAAAATTTTAATTTTTGTAATATAGAATAAAAAAGTCCTGCACCAATAAATATATTTTTTTTATTTTCTTTTCACGATGTACATTCTAAGGACGATGTCCTACGGCGATATTTTTTCAAAATTTGTCAGATAGCTTATTTGGATTATGACAAAATTAAATTTGACAAGAAAAATATCATCGACCTTTTTAAAGAAAGCTGGTAATACAACGCGTAAGGACGCGTAAAATTGATAATCTCCAAGCTTTCTTTTGACAGTTAGCGCGTCTCTTAGTATGCAATCTAGGAGAATGACGTTATCCAATGGGCGTATGTCGATCAATTTAAAACTATAAATAAAGGCAAATAAAACATTTCTTTTTAAAAAGACACGAACGATAAAAGGACAAAAAGAAGGTACGATGTAAATTCGCTTTTGATAGATATTAAAGTTAGATTGACCATCACATTAGGAGAGTGTATCACATGCAAAGTTCAGAGTTTATTTTAATCGGATCTAGATGGTTTTTGTGCTCGAGAATTTAACATTCGATCGAACGTGTGGTTTTTATGTTTAATTATAATATAATATATATTCTCGTTCATTTATTATTTTTTAAATGAAAATCGAACTTTTTTTTTGTTTTTAAACATTATAAAAAAAAAAAAAGTTTTTCAACAATAATTTTTACCATGAAATCAATCTTCTTTCTAATCACGCAACATATATGTGAATCATTACCATAAATGAAAAATGTTTAACAATGTTATATAAAAAATTTAGGTTACAACTCTAAACGAAAAAAAACTCGTAAAAAAAAATAACAAAGTATTATTGTTATTCACTCGATTTTTTGAATCAAATTAAACAATCGCGAAAACGACACGCTTTTTATTAAACGTTTTTGGTTCTCAATTATAATTTGGTTCTATATTTTAAAAAGAAAAAAAAAGTCATTTTTTTTTGATTCAAACGAGAATGCCCCCAAATCGAGAACTCAAGGCTCTCCTCGCCAGCATGAATACATTCCCAACCTTGACCTCTGTAGAAGGAAACAATATTGCTGAAAGACTTAAAAAAAGACAGAGAAGAAAACCAATAAGTCGGATTGAGGCAAAGCGAATTGAATTAGAAAACCCCTTTATAGCTCGGCGAACTACAAAACGCAAAAGGAATGAATTTATAGAAAGGTTAGAAGAAGAGGAGGAGGAGGAGGAGGAGGAAGGAGGAGAATCACAGGCCGTACAACAAGAGCTGGAAATTACCTCCGAAGATAGTGAATCGGCTTGGGAGCCTTGGGAGGAGGTAACTCCCACAAGACAATTAAGAAGGTCAAGGACCGTTATTATGAGAAACGCCTACATAAGACCCAGGGTTGAAACGTCTACAAGGGAAAAGAGAAGACGACTTCAAACCTCCGAAGAAATGCAAGAGGACAAGAAAGAATTGGATGCCGTGGAAAGTCTTCTTGCCATGGCAAATGGAAGTAAAGCATCTCAAATGATGATGACATCAAAACGAGTTATGGGAGAGATTAACATGAGATCTCCTAAACCTGTTTTGAGGGAGTTATTTCCCCAAGTGAAAAGCGAACCCAAGAAGGTTTACTATGTATTGAAGAGAAAAGAAATAAAATCCTTGTTAACGTCATGGAATGCTCACCGTCGCGGGATGTTCGTCTTATTGGCGGATCATATTGTCTCGGCAACCAAAAGAAGGGAAAAAAATGGAGACAGTTTAGATTTCAGGACATTACTTGAACAATGTTTGGAAAATTACATCTGTCATGATGAGAAAACTTTTCGTCATTACTTGGAAGACTTTTATTATCATGGCTTATTCTTCGCAATAAAAACCCCTTGTGGGGAGATTAGAATCACTATCCCAACTCCTTTGCACGACCTCAAGTTGTTATTGTCGGATAAGAACCTTTTCGGTGATCTTGATTGATGATGTCAAAGAAAATTTTTTGATTAAATAGGACAATATTAATAATAATAATAATACTAGCCAAACGAGGGGAGGAAAAAGATGGCTATACGAGAAACAAGTAACATCTTTGAGATTACGAGAAATTTTTTAATAAAATCCTTTTTTTTTCGTGGAACCCTCGATATATCCAAATAAGGTTTAGTTGAACACGGTAAATTCTCTACTTTAAGATTTAGCATGTGACCTCCCGATCAGGACCCGCAAATTCCCGATTTTTTTTTTAATCGTTAGGCAGGCAATATTAAAGCTTTGTTCAGATTACTTTGAAAAATTTCCAGATTAAGAAAAAATTATTCTTTTAAATATCTGAAATTTATTTAACTTACATTTGTTAATTTTATATATTTAAATTTAAATACTAGGAAACCGTATTGTCCTACGCTTACACTTCGGACAATAATAATTTGTAATAAAATAATGAAACTCAAAAGTATTATATGTAATAATATTAGCACAGAAACCTTTGGTGTTTGTAAATAGAACTTCTCTAATCACCATCTGTAATTTTTTTAAAATGCCATCATGTGATTTAGGCGATATGTCATACCATTAATATATGGACATGGACGCTGGCTCCGCAGCACCTTGTTTTCTCATTCCTCCCCACTTTGAATGAACATTCAACAACACTAACCTTAAGCACACGCGCCAATCTCACGTCAAGAATATCATCAAATTATATTTCAGTTGATCGTACCAAGTGAACTCTAACTGAGAAGGGAAAGATATTATTTTGTTGGAAGATGAAATTCTAGAAGTAACATTTTTGGTGGGATTATCGTGATCAATCTAATCAGATGAATGCAATTTGGTATATATATAAACAGCAAAAAAAAGTAACAATCAAGATTTGTGAAGAGTGTGTGGTGAGGTTTTTTCATGGTAAATTAACAACAAAAAGAATGTGGGAAAATATAATGAGTGACCAATTATCATCATGATGTAGAATCGAGTGTATGTATTGAATAAAAGAATTGTTACCATCAAAAAGATCATTCTTCTATAAAGTCGAAAGGGTATGATTGAAGTGTAATGTTAAAAGCTGTGATATATCCATAAATTAACGAATCAAACCATTTATACCATTAATCTTTGGTAGCATCATCCAAAACAATTTAATAATTTATCAAAACCAAGGTTTTCTTATGATGATAAAAATGCATATAGATTTTAATAATAATAATTCCATCATAATTACATATATATAAAGAACTCAAAAGAAAAAAATCATAAAAATCATAAATATACATTCACATAATCTACACGCGCTCGTTACCCACAGAATTACTACCCACTTGACAAAAAACGCGTAAACGCGTTTCATAATGGTGATTCCGTCCTAATGTTCTTGCTACGCCATTTTCTGTTGTATAACGATGATTGATTACATACATGAGTAATATCATCTTGGACCTCTCTTACAATTCCAATCAAATGGAGAATAAAAAGTTATCTCCTTTACGCTTTATGATTTTATTCAATTTAATCAAAAAAAAAATTTTTCTTTAGATCCCTTGCAGAAAAATCCGCAGCAACACCAACAATTACACGACATGATTTGTAAGTTTAGATGGATAATCTTTCTTGCTGTTGCATTACGATTTTTTTTTTTTTTCAAAACTGTTTTGATGACAATAAAAATAGATCAAAACGGCTTTGGATACTAATCGTTATGATTAAAGAATGAAAATCAAAAAAAAAAATACTTTTTTTGGGGGGTTCGGCTGCGGAATATGACTCATTACTTAATTTTTTTTGTTTCAAGGATGAATTTCGTTACGTAAATCGATCTTATCTTTTTATCATTTATTAACTATCATTAAGAATCTACGAGTTTCGGCGCAGTATGAGCTGATATTATAAAAGGGTGAAAAATCCCTTGAAACACAAAACCATATGGTAAGGAGGGTTCTTTTTTCGCTATTAGAATTTCGAAATTTTTTTTCTTCTATTTACAAAAAAAAAAAAATAAAATAAAAAAGCTTTCAGACAAATAAGAATAAAAAGAGAGAAATGGTTTCTTTAAATAATGGAGAGGTTCAGTCCAGAGTGGCAACAAATGGTTTTGGAAAAACGAAACCACCACCTTATTCAGTAAACATTATCTTTTATATCATTTTAATTTCAATTATATGTAATTATTTCGTACTCAAATGGGGAGGAAATGACAGTAGTAGTATTATTGACGGTAGTAGTATACAAGAGAAACAACTGGTCATATGGGTAAAACATCCCTTACATACCGATCCTGTCAAAGTTCACGTGTCATACAATGCTGACATAGCTGACGTGAAAAAAGTTGTAAGACAAGAATTGCAACCTGCACTTGATAAAGAAAGTCTTGGTAAAGTATTACTTTTGAGTCCTAAGCTTGGTCGGTTAAGTCCTCCTACATTGATAAGGAAGGTGGTTTTGGACAAAAATGAAAATCTAATCGTTTTTGTGGATAATCTTGGTACGTATTAAAAAAAAGAGATGAATTCGATAGGGTAAAATTTTTTTGATAGGTTCCTTAATCCTTGTTCATTTTCATTTTAGAATCGCGATTATTCTTAAAAACGATCACCACAGACCGTCTTCCACTACAAGTGAATGCACCCTTATGCCTTAAAACTGATGAGGCTTATATTGCGGTGGCAAAGATATTGATGGGAAGTTATTCGCAACAAGACATAACTGCACTCAGAAGTAATCTTTGTGAATCGAGCATCGAAAGCTGGAGTTCTAGATATTCTTATGCAGGACGGTAAGTATAACAAGTAATTTTTTTATTTTGTCGTTAATTTCGTTGTTTTCATTGTAAAAAGGAAGATCAAAAGACCGCACACATATCTAGTATAAATCTAAGTTCTTAGCTATTTTAGCTAGTTTATACGAATATGTTACAACTTTTTGACTTTCCAAAGCAAAAGAAAAACTCACTATTCTTTAGGGCAACATTTCCTTTGAAATATGTTATGTGTTCCTGTTTTTTTTTTTTTTTTTCCTCTTTTTCTTTTTTTCTTGATTTTACCTGTCAAATTTCCATTTTTTTTATGTATATATTTAAAGACGGTAGAATTTGAAAAAAAAAAAAAAAAAAGGAGAAAGTATATAAAGGTTTAAATCTTTAGAGATACCTTTTCTTTATATATAAAAAAAAATTATACATATCAGAAACACAAAGTAGTGTATATTCAAGAAAGTTGCAAGAAAATTACTCTTGATTTTTTTTTTAGGGTAATATATATTTTTTTAAAAAAAAAAAAAAATAAATAAATAAAAATTTATATTTCTTTCTTATATATATATATAGCGAATTAATAAATATATTTCGGATATGTGAATAAATAAATAACTATAATTATTGAATTAATTTTTTTGTTTGAAAAATAAATATTCTCAATAAATGAACAACTAAAATGATACAAGAGACATGTGCATCTTTTACGCGATTCATCCTTTCGAATCTCTTTTCCTCAACTTTTTTTTCAATTTTTACTTATTTTTAACAATAACTTCCAAGAATTGCTCATAACTCATTTTAGCCCAGCCGGAACCATCTTTATCCAAAGTACGAAAAACTTCAGTCAATGATCTAACAGTAACACACAATTGAACGAAATTATCAAAAGAGATGGCATGTTCTAATTCACTTGACATCAACTTTCTGCCTTGAACGTTATGAGAAACCTTATATTTCTTTACAAATTTTTTTAACATTTGTTCACTAATATTAAAACCAAAATTTTTCATGGCTGTAATTAATTCGGGAATTTCAATAGTACCACTATTGTCCGCATCAAAAGCTGAGAAGATACGTTTCCAATCTTCAATATAACGCCACAAACCTACAAATTCATTAAAATGTATAGTACCAGTTTTATCACTATCGAATAATGAAAAAAGTAATTCTATCGTATCTAAATTAAATGCCGACCAGTCTCCGTTTAATAATACGCGTTGAAGTTCTTTTGGGGATAAAGTTCCATTATTATCCACATCTATGTGTTTGAAGAAGGTCGTTAATTGTTGTTCGGAGGTTATCTTAGGTGCTGACATTTTCTTTTTTGGTGAACTTTTTACAAAAGCAACCGAGAACTTTTTTTTATGAATAAAAAATGATTTTGGAACTTTGGAAAGGATTTATTATGTAATTATCGCAATAACAACTTTTTTTTTTTTTTTTTTTGTAACAATGTAAGTTAAGTTTCAAACAACTTTAATCCAGTTTTAAAAATAAGATACAGTTTAGATCATCTCACAGATGACCTTTTCCTTTTCTCCTTACTTGCATGCATACTATGCATGTATGAAATTGGTGTCATCCAGATCGACAAACCTGAAAAGATTTATTTAAAATTTTAGAAATTGAAATTTTAAAAGTTTCCTAATGATCAAACAGCAATTTTATTTTTTTATAAATAATCCAAACGTGAAAAGATTATGATGACAAAGGAATTTTACAGATAGTATTGATAGTATTAATGTTAAATAAAGTTCAAAAATATATTTTTTTTATAAATATATATATCTATTTGATTTGATGTAATGTAACCTAATTATGTAATACTTTAATAAAACAATTAAAAAAAGTATCTCCCGTGTCTCCCGTGAAATTCCGCGGAAGAATCACTTCACCACAAAAAACCAGCCTTATATCACTTTTTTCTTTCAACAAGGAGGATTCCTTGGTATAATTTTTCAAGCATGGCATTGAAGGTAAAGAGAATTGTTTTTTTCTTTCCGAGTAAATGCGCATCGATAAAAACACATCTTTTACAAATATCATATTTAATTAATTCACATTTATATATATATATATATTTTTATTATTTTTAGTTTCTCACTCAAAGAATTGCACAAACAATTGACGAAGAATTATTCTCTTCGGCTGGTGGATTCTCCGTAGATCAGGTGGATAATTTCCGGATTCGGATTCATTTTTTTCTTGAAATTAATTAATCATTCATTTACTAACTTACACACACCTTTCATAGCTTATGGAATTGGCCGGATTAAGTGTCGCACAAGCCATCACAAGAGTTTACGATAATTCAAAATATCCTCGTGCATTGATCTGTTGTGGACCAGGAAATAACGGTGGTGATGGTAATTATTAATCTAGAATGATTTTTTCCCGAGTCATAAATCGGAAAAGTCTGAACATGTTTTATCGTGGTTTTTTTTTTTTTTTTTTTTTTGTGTTTAGGTCTTGTAGCTGCGCGTCATTTGTTTCATTTTGGTTATAAGCCAAATATCTATTATCCTAAAAGATCCAAAAAAGAATTATATGAAGTGAATAATTTTTTTTTTTTCCTTTGATTATTATTATTTTTTAAAAAATCTTTTTTTTTATTTTATTTTTCTTTTCTTTTGTAGAGATTAGTAGTTCAATGTCAAAACCTTAAAATTCCGATCACGGCGGATTTATCAGATTCTTCATTCAATGATAATGATTTGATCGTTGATGCTATATTTGGATTTAGTTTTTCCGGTGAAGTCAGACAACCTTTTGGTCAAGTTATTCAGGTAATTATATCGGTTGTCAAGTTTAAAAGTTAACAATAATCGAGTGAACTTTTTTCTTCAATTCAATAGAGATTAAAGGGAACAAACCTTCCTATTGTGTCAGGTTAATAAAATCATTTATGTAATCACTTGTTCTTTCACAAACGTGTTTAACGTTATTACTCTATTGATTTCTAGTTGATATTCCATCAGCATGGGATGTAGAAAAAGGTTCTTATTCAACCATGTAAATTCGGATTTCTCGAGGGAAGCAAAAAAATTCCCTCCCTTTTTTTAACACACATTCTGATTATATAGGCAACATTGATAATCGTGGGTTTACACCATCAATGTTGGTTTCTTTAACGGCACCAAAATTATGTGCAAAACATTTTAATGGTAAACACTTCCTTGGTGGCAGATTTGTTCCTCCGTAAGTCATTTTTATTATTATTTGTTATATATTTGAATTAAATAATAATAATTTGGATATAAAATTTAATAGAGAATTAGAAAGAAAATATGAATTAAATCTTCCGTCTTATCCTGGTTCGGATCAAGTTGTAGACATTACTAATGCACCAAATGAGAAATTATAAGGTTGGTTCAAACATAAAGAAGTCTTGGTTGCTGGTTGCTGAACTGTGTTATAACTTCTTTATTAATGAATAATTTTTTTTTTTTTGATTTTTTGATTTTTTTAAATAAATATATAAAATCCATTATTATTTAATATTCATACCAAAAAAAATAAGTGAAACCTCTAATAACAACCCGATTACACTTAAATTACCGTTTAAGTATAGTTTGCGATTAAATAACACAAAATATAAATTAATTGAAAAATTTTCTGTTTGGAGAGTGGCCAAAGAGTATAACTCGAATTTCGGGAAGCAACTATAAATATTATTATTATTATTTTTTTTTTTTGCAAGGAAATTAATTATCAAATTTATAAGCAATATATTATGATGAATAAATTAATTTTACCTCTTCTTGAGACAAGAGTAATCTTTCTTCAAGAGTATTATTAATTCTTATACGACCAAAATGTGATGACAGGACAACACCACCAGCACTAAATATCATCAAAAAAATTTAAATCAATGAAGTTTTATAAACTCGTAGTATTTAAGAAACCATAGACATATAAACCTTACCAATCATCAGATAAATTGCTTTCCTTATCAAGTTCAATTTCAACATTTTTCTTGGTGGATTCTTTAAAGCTTTTGGTAGCAGCTTGAATAGCGTTCTTGGCTAAATCCTGATCCTTTTTTCTCACAATAATTTTAACTTGTTCATCCATAAGTTGAAATAATCCTTGTAATATCAAGTTTTTTAAAAGTTCCTCATATTTGGTTTGATCTTGTGATACTTTAGAAAGTTGACTTCTCGTATCATTAAATACTTCGTTAAGCAATTGTTGACGTGCTTGTAGTAACTTAAGACGAGACTTATTGATTATATTTGATTGAGTGCTGATGAAAGTTTAATGGTTAGAATAAGATGACATTAGGAAATGAAATAAATAGATTAAAAAGCAAAGGTTACATTTTTTTTTGAATTTCTGCTTGTTTGATCTTTCTTTGAAATGTTGCTTCGATATTGATCGACTCTTGGCGAACAAGTTTAGCCTAGTATGCATAATTTATCAATATATATATATTTATTTTTTATTTATTTATGTTTTTAAACTTTTCAACTTATTTCAGACAAAAAAAAAAAAATTTGAAAAAAATACCGACCTTTTCAATATTGAACTCCTCATCGGCCTATTAAGAAATTACCGTTTTATTTCATTTATTTCATTGAACCAATAATAAAAATGATCGATTTGTTGATGATTAATGCAAAATTGACACATACCTTTACTTTTATTTCACGAGCTTTCTCGATAGCTTCTTGTTCGATAAAAGTAACCTAGCATAAAAAAAAGAAGAAAATTAGCATTAACCGATTAGCGTCACCAATAATTTAACGCCCAAATCTCATTTCTTCTGTTATCTACATAATAATAAAGTATACCATTTTCTTCATTTCTTTATCCACTTCTTCATCGTTTAGAGCACGTGAAGTCGACATTTTGACTTTAAATTTTCAGGTAAAAAGAAATCAAAATATTTGAAAAAAAAGGGGAAAGGAAAAGTTTCTCAACAAAGGATAAAAAGTTTTACAAATGGTCCTTTTATTTAAAATTTCATCTACAATTTCTAAATTTGATCTGATCATATTAGATTATAATACCGCCAATGCCCAATGTCATGTAACAAACCACACCAAAAATGATCAAATTTTTTTTAGATCTTTAATTTTATTTGAATACTAATAAATTAATTAACAAAAAAGATAATCAAATCAGTTAAATGTGCCCGAATTTTCAGATCCTTAACACACACCATCATGTAATACACGATTTATTGATAGCATCAAATTTTCTTTTATTAACAAGAGTTTTTACCCTTATTGCCTTTAATTCATATATTAGTTATTTTGAAGCGAAAAACAACGATGTTACTTTGAAAAATTATATATATTTATATATATAAATTCCCTAAACCTAAATATTATTATAAAAAAAGATTTCCCCCATTACAAAATAATGCTACTAAAGTAATCATTAAAATATAATTATTATTAAAACTTCTATAATTATGGTATAACAAACAACCTAAAATTATTAACAAAAAA